TGTAATACTCATCTCGGAGGAGCAATGTGAGCCTTAATTCATTCATGTGTGTGAAGCCCTTTCAGAGCCTCAGATGGAAAGAACGTAAGCACTAATGTTAATACCCACAATAACAATGTCATCTTGACATTTGGCATCAGGGCATCCACAGCAGAAAAGTCCAGAAATGACTAAAGCATTAGAGGTTTGGATGGGAGTCTAGGGAACTAACCCACAAAATGGGGGTTCCTTCAAAGAGAGGAAGGGTGCTCTAGTGATTGAGGCACTAGCCTAGGATTCATGAGACCTGAGTTCATTTACCTGGCTTGCCACAGAATCCCTGTGCGACCTTGGGCAAGGGGAGGTTGTGGAATCTCAATCACTGGCGATTTTTAAGAGCAGGTTAGACAAACACCTGTCAGGGATGGTCTAGATAATACTTAGTCTTGCCATGAGCGCAGGGGACTGGACTAGATGACCTCTCGAGGTCCCTTCCAGGCCTACAATTCTATGATTCTAGTTAGTCTCTCTCTACATCTTAGTTCCCCACCTGTAAAATGGGGATGCTATCATTCCCTGCCCCACAGGGGTATTGTGAGGATACATACAGTGTGAGGTATTCCAGCAACGGGGGGGAGGGGGCAGATAAGCATATTTTTAAAAGAGGCACACACCTTGTAACAGATGGCGACCTACATTTGGGGGGAAACAGGGCTGTCCAGCTTTATCTCTTAAGAGCAGAAACAAAAAGAACTGGACCAGCCTGGATGATGAAAAATGTAAAGTGAAAGTGGAAGCACAACAGCTATGGGCCCTTTTTTGTTAGAAATGCTTGATTTACAGCAAGGCTGTAATTTTGCAGGATAATAAGATCAAGTTAGTGGCAAAGGGGGAAAATAATATCTGAGCTTTGGGGAGAGGGGGAAGGAGGTTGGTGAAAATGCTGATATTTACTTACTGTAAATGTTGAGCCTATAAAATATTCCCTCACACAGCAGCCTAAAGTGCCAGGCAGACAACAACAGTGTCTGCATGCTTGAATGAAGTTGTATATTGTTTTGTGAAAGCAGCAGCTCACAGCAGAACTGAGATTAGCAACAACGTGGGTCTTCTCGGTGTAATTTACAAAAACATACCAACACTTTCGGATCGCGTCTGAACCTGGCAAAACTGCTAGATTCGGCACTAATGCAGCCGCTGACATGAATGTATCTTTTCACCAAAGGAGAGAGGGAATCAATTTCCGGGGTGCTGTCTGAACAGCCACAAATGCTATAGCAATACTAAGACAAAGGAATTTAGGCCTGCTCATAAAACATGCCTCTCTTACTAAGAGATGTTTGCAAGGAAGCATTGCCTAGTGGAAGGAGATGCAGACACTCTTTAAAATAGCACTGCAAGCTCCACCTCACGCAGGCTGTTCCTGAAGCCCGGCTAACAGACAATGCTTGCTGGGGATGCTGGAGGTGACCTAGGTTCTAGCTCTACCTCTGGCATCTTTTTATAAAATGCATTTTTTAAGGGGCATTAATTCTTTGGGGCTTAATGAGGTGTGCGCACCTTCTGGTGCACTTGAAAATACAGGGCCACATTGTGCTCTGAGTTCTGACAGCATAAACATGGAGAAGCTCTGCCAAAGTCAATTCCGGGCTGGGGAAATAGAGAATAAAATTTGCCTGCTTGCCCCCGCCCACCCCCCAGTGCCTCGCTTGTGACGTTTGCTCCCAACATGGCCTCTCGTTTCCCATCCACCGATGACAGCTCAAGAATGAGCTCTTTGGCTGCAGAGGAAGATTTAGAGTAATATGCCTGTTCTATTTACACAACAGAAATATTTGCATAGGTCTGCTCTGGACCTAGGTTCTAGTCTCACCACTAACTGCACCCAGTGCCTGTCTTTTTCTTAATTGTCATGTTTGTCTATTTAATGAGGTGTGTAGCAGCCTCTAGTGGTGGACAGTAGAAAGCCACACAGTTAAACTGCTAGAACTACTGTGAATTAGGGTGAGATTTCTTTTTTCTTCTACGCAATAGACGGGTTAGCCATTTCTAAAGTCTGCTGGAGACCATTTACTTGCACAAGGAGGTGACTCCAGCCCTTCAGAGCACAAATTTATCTATGGCAGGAGGGGAATCCACGGTTGGTTTTTAACCCCACTGTAACACTCTCCACTCTCACACATGGCATTCAAACAGCATTTTCAGCTGTCATTTATTAGACTTCAGCAACAAATACTAGCCTCCTCTACCACTAGAGTCCAAATTCCAGCCAGAATCATCCCTGTCTTCCCTACTTCCACAAATCTGAGCGCCAAGGCAGGTTTGGGTCCTCAGTCCACTTCCACCACTTCTCCCAGTGCAGTGAGTTCCATTGTAGCTGAGGTCCTCTGCAGCCACACAGGAGGGGCCAAGATGTGTGGCCCTCTGTAGCGAATGGGTTCACTGACCCTGTCACCTTAGGTGAGACATTTAACATTCTACATCTCAGTTTACCCATTTGTTAAGATGGGGATGGGGAGAATTCTGTGGTGCCTACTCTGGTTTTAATCAATTCTCATGCAGGCAATGCTCTCAGTGGTATTGTCTGGGGTTTTGCCTCATGAAGGTGTGAGTAAAAGCTGAGTAGAGACCTCTAAATTTTTTCCTATAACAACATTTACTGTACCTTCTGCACAGGGGTGGCTGAGAATTTCCTTTCAGAGTTGCAAAAGCAATCTGAGATTGGTGAAGTATGTAGTGATGCAACTGTTATGCCTTGTTTTCATTTTGCTACACCCTTAGGGTGGCCGGCCAGTAAAGGCAGTGGCTATTTTGTGAAGCAGAGTTGATGCATCATGCAGCAGAGAACACACTCTGTGCTCTCTCACCAGGATTTTATTCCTCCTTGTTTAGCCATCGCCCTTCATCGAAGGAGCAGGTCAATCACACTGGAAAGTTCTATATATTGTAGAAGAAACTATAAATGTGCTGAAGGCAAAAAGAGGCTCTGTAAGTGCAAAGTAGGACTCTCTCAGACAAACTGCATGATATCCAGGCTCCATTAAAGTCAATGAGACAGTATTTATTCACTTTTTCGGATCGCAGACTACACATCTCCTTTCTTAAGGCCTGAGCTGGAGCCTTCTGAAATCCACAGACAGTCAAGCCCTTATTCTCTCTGACACTGAAAGAGGGGTGAGGTGGGGGAGAAAAATTGGTATTAAACTAGATTCCTCCCACCACGCCTCTCCCTCTGATTTTCAAGCTCACATCTAAATACAAACAAATCCCAGAAGGCAGTTACAATCTCACCCAGAAAGGTGTGTCATTCTGTCAGTGCTCCCCTCAGATCCCCCCATGCCTGGAGCAGCTGGATCTTCCCACTGGCTCAGCCATGTAATTTTCTGCCACTTCTTAATGAGACAGTGCAATTTTTAAGTGGATTCTTCCACAAAAGGTTAATGAGAACTGGCTTGGGCTTGCAAGATACAGCTAAGAAGAGCCAGATATGGGTTCTGATGAAAACCTTCATTGTCGCTTTGTAGGGATAGATAATGTATTGTGACACAATGTGCTAGCTGATATTGGTTTGCAAAGGCCTCTCTCATGTAGCCTGGATCTAGGCTCCTATTTAATCTTCTTTATAATAAAGGGTTCTTTTCCTAAAACAGAGACAGAAGTTTCAGTGTACAGAATTCTCAGGTTCTTCTTCTCCTTTCAGTTATCTGTTGGTACCCAGACAATATGAGTGCTTTGGAAACAGATTAGATTCCATAATAATGAATATGGATGGATCACCGCAATATTTTTTTCTCCAAATACTTATCCAACTGTTTGAAAAATCGTTTCCAAGTATTTTTCTTCTGGTTACCATTGGAAGTGTGCTAGCCAGACAGGCCTGATTTACCACTCAGGACTCCAGAATGCACTAGTAGTGAAGACTGCTGGCTTCTACTCCCAGCTCTGGGTGTCACATCAGTGCCACCTATATATATTTGCCATTTCCCTCTGTTGATTTATCTCATTTCAGTCACTTCCAGCACTTCACCTGCTTTTCCCAAATGCTAAAATTCAACATCTCCTGCCTCTTTTTTTGGTTTATTGTTTATGACAAACTTGAGCAGACGGTGGCCACTCCTGTACTTAGATGCACAGTATCGCTAATCAACATGAAATGTCAACCAGTAGGAGGCCCCAAACCATTTCTTTTAGTTTACATCACATATAAGCAGCTCTATATCAAGTCTACTAACTCAGGCTCTGATCCAGCAGTCCTTTTGCAGACAAAGCTCCCATTGCTTTCAGTGGAGTTACACCAGGAAGGGTTTTGGCTCAGTGAGTTTGCAACAGTGTATCTAAGGGTTTGTCCATACAGGGACATCCATGAAAGTTAATCTGAATTAAGTGAAGGTGTGAATTTGAAGTGGATTAGTGGACACTGTTAATCAGAATTGAAGTGGCCTTAATTCAGTTTAGTTTAATTCACTTTGGAAGTTAGTTAATTCTGATTAATTTTACTGGATGTCACTAGACAAGCACTAGAAGAATAATTTGGTCCATTGACCGGAACAGTAGGGGCAGAATTTTGCCCTGACATATATAAATTCAGTTCCCCAGGACTCCTACTCAGTGGTAAATTGACCTCTACATCTAGCTGAAATATCCAATGGCTTGTTCTTTGTTAAACCCCTTTAGATTTCTAGCTCTTCGTCTTGTTGGTCCTTCTCACTCAGTGGCTCTCCTACCATATTTACCCCATTTGTAAACTGCAATTTTGAACCCTAACAAATCCCTCACCTGTGGTTCCTCCAAGGTCATCTCTCTGTTACTAAAAAGGCGTCGCCTACTGTACTCACACAGGCGTAAATTTTGAAGAACTTAGCCTCTTAGGGGCAAAGTGGAAAATATGGACATGGAAAGAGAATCCATTCAATTGTCATGTGCTTCTTCCACATTTGTGTGTCACTGTTATTAACAGATGTGGCTGGTTTCCTTCCTCTCCTCCCCCGGACAATCCCCCCCCCCCCCAATAGATAGTCTTACCTTTTGTGGAGTAGCAGCAGCAGCTTGGACACTTGATGGAATCTGGGAACCAATAAAAAAACATTCATGAAAATGACCATTTCAAGAGAGATAAAATATCATTATGTGAAATGGATTTGCTGGCACTGCTCACCAAATTTAGCACCTATTAAATTATAGACACCATTATTCCTCTTATACAGAAAATTCTGAAACTTTCCCTCAAAGATATATTTTATTGTTTTAAGTGGGGTTTAAAGCCATTTTGTTCCTTGTGATAAATCTCTGCATATGAATTTTCTTAGCGATACAATGCATTCTTATTCTGCTAAAAGCCTTACTGATAGGACAATACGCCCCTCTACCACGTGACAAAAAAATTAAGGGGTTATTTTGCAGCAGAGAGATTTTCCCTAGGGCGGGTATTTGTGGTGGTGGGTGTTGAACTTTTGATTTTCTCCTGATACTTAGGTTGCTGGTTAGTAAGTTGAATTTCCCCATCAGGAGTGTTTAACCAGCAAATATTGGTCAATATTTACAATGTACTTAGGAAACCAGTCTTAGTAAGTGATATAACTTTATTGCACTAACCTTACTAAAGAGAGTATCAACTTACATCATACCAAGTCTCCCTATATAAGGAATCCCGGGAAGTCCTCAACCCATGGGTTTTTTTGGATTATTAAATTCGCTCATGCTTTCCTTCTGGATTCTTCATTTTTCTAAACTTTGTCTCCCCATCAGCTAAACTGCTGGTCTGTTTGATTAATAAAATTAATGTCTGAACACATACACCAATCAAATTGTGTTCTTTAGGAAGTGTTCTTTGGTCATTAAAGCGCAAAGGCAGTTAAATCATAGAAAAAAGTCAAATGGGGAGAATGTGGTAGGATGGAGAAGATGCCCTGGGAAGCGAGAATGACTTTCCAATATTGTGCTGTAGAAAAGCACGGCTAGGAATCCTTTCTAAGGGTGCCTGAAGGAAACCACAAGTCATAACTGCTTCCTACTGGATGTTATTGTAGACACTTGTGCAGGAGAACTAAAAGCATGGAGGGGAAATGAGAGGAAGACCTGTCCCATTTGATCACTTGAGCATAGGAGAAACAAAAGGATGTGGCCGCACCTTCACCGCCAATTTTTTTGCTTTTTAACATTAAGAAACTTTGAAACACCTGCAGTGGGAAACAAAAGGTTAATTAAAAAGAACCCCAGTCTTTGCACTAAGCGGATTGCTGGGACTCCTGCCAGCCTGGGAAGGTTAAAAAGCTCAAGCATGCGTGGGCTGCGGGGGGAATGGCTAAAATTTACAGCCAGCTCCCTGGAAAGTCACAGTTCAGCTGTTCTCCCAGAGCAGGTGCTCATGGGAGCGGGCCTGTCCCTTTCAAAGCGTGAAGATTGATGAAGCCTTCGGTCTCACCAACTGTAAATATACAACCAGCCTTGTCAGAGCAGGTTTGTAACATCACTCGCTGACAGCAAGAAATTTTTTTAACCTCCTAAACACACACACACATGCACACACACGCATACCAAACAAGGTTTTCTCAGCAAATAGAAAAAGTTAGTAAATAACACTGTGGGAAATACAGTCATGTTGTGGACGCCTGGGGCGATAATGTGCAGAGGGCCCAGGTGAGGCTCGCTTTAATTCTGTCCTTTAGAAAACAAACAAACAAATGAATGAAATAATCTTCCTTTGAAATCACAATTCGTGGCTGAGTCCTGCAAGGTGAGCTGAGCTACTGCGGTGATTGGGTGCCAATATAGGACCCTGGATAAATTAGATAGGTTAGATAAATGGCTGCTGAGCATCCCCAAGTGGAGTTGAGGGCACTCTGGAGTTTACAGGAGTGGCCCCACGAAGAACAAAAATAACATTCAAATGACACTTTGCCCTTTGTCTGCCATCTGGGGATCCAAAGCACCTTGCAAACATTAATGAATTAACTCTCACAACTGCTCCCTGTGTGGAGGGGACATATTATCCTCATTAGAAAGGAGAGAAAACAGACAAAGAAGCTGAAGCTAAGATTTTCAAAGAGGCCCATCGGAGTTCAGTGCCCAACTCCCATTCCTGCCTAAATGACTCGTCCGTGGCCACGCAGTAAGCCCTGCGGAGAGCCAAGTCTCCTGACTCCCAGTTTAACTTACAAGACAAGAAACAAAGAATGGGAGGAGCTGGAAGCAATATCAAAGGAGGCTGCTCAGGGTGATGACTGGTGCATGGGTGATTACCCTCTTGGTTTCTGTTTCTTTGCTTTTGCGTTGTGTGTGTAATACACATCCAACCAGTCCTCTCCTGAGCCATAATTAATGGGCAAATTTCATGCAAGCACTGTGGCAGAAGTGTGTCCTCAGGAGGTGTCTGAGTGAGGAGAAGGCGGTGCCCTTCAGGAGTAGCTTAGGGTGGGTGTCTCAGCATCTGGTTAATCAAGCAAATGGCTCAATAGCAGAGGTCAGGTCAGATGTTCCCCAAACCCACAGTTATTGATGCTTCTGATGATTAAAGAAGAATGATGCAAGAGTAAGACACAATGTGTCATGGAGCACTCCAGCACCTGGGACGAGGAGGCATGGGGGAGAGAGGACAGGATTAACCCAGAGGGAAGGCCCAATTTTATCTCCCTTCACCCCTTCTTTCAGATCTAACATAGAGACCTGAGAGAGAGACAGACGAGGAGAGTCCTGAATGGCAGACCCACCCTCCCCCCACCGACCTTGGTCTGAGCCTACACTAGAAGAGTAAAAGCATGGGCACTCTTACTTTCCCTCCACCAATGGACATCCAAGGGGCATAGGGACATCCAGAAGAAAAGCAGAGCACAGATGGGGCCTGATCCAAATCCTACTGAAATCAACCAGCGTCTTTCCATTGACATCAGTGGGCACTGAATTAGGTCCTTGATGACCAAACTACTTTAGACTGTAGGAAGCAACACTGTTATTCCCATATATGAGTGTTTCTTGATAATCTAGTACTTGAATTCACTTCTATCATTACAGTACCTATGACTGGTTAAACCAAAATCATTCTCCAGTATTCTTTGCCCTTTTCATCCCCCAGGAAATATTTCTCGGTTGTCCTTTCTCCAAGGCAAAATTTCTGGGTAATAGGAACTTGTTACCTGATATCCTAAGAAAAATTTCACGTTTGATTTTATGCATGGGAAGAGGGGCGGGGAGGGAGAGAGAGATTAAATTGGCTATTTTAGGAAATGCATAAAAAAATTCTGATTACCCCAAAATTTTGCCTTAAAAGAAAGTCAGCATTTCTTTTCTGGTCCGCTGCATCTGTTTTATAACTTGTTTCTTATTTCTTGCTGCTTATTTTTAATAGATCAGCCAGAGACAACGCTTCTTCCTCTTCACCAGGGCCTGCTGAAGCATTTCTTGTGCATCCAAAACTCCCATGCAAGTCAGGCCCCAGATCGTTGTTTTCAGTTTTTTTAAACCCCTCTGTTTATCACTTTCTATCTCCCTAACAAAAACACCTTGGCCTTTGCAGGCCTTGCTCGCATTTAGAGTGATATGGGATGAATTTCAATTGCATCCACTTCAAAATATTAAAAAAGAAAAGAAAAGAACAATAATCATGGAACTAACAGGACATTTGCAAACCATCATATTGTTCATTCTGTTTGTATGTTATATTCCTTATCCCCAATTCTTTGACTGTCTTGTCTATTTAGATTGTAAGCTCTTTGGGAGGTACTGATTGTCATTGTCTCTTAACATATGTCACCTAACACAAAGGGGTCTGAATCTTGGTTGTGGGTCTGTGGCTTTACAAAGAATAACAAATAAATATTAAATACAATAAACAATAAATAATAAATACTACCTTTTTGGCTGCAGCAGAAATCTAAAGATTCCAACGAAAATTCCTGGGGATGGAAGTGTTTCTACAAACTGTAAAAAAGAAAATAAAAAAGTGATGTACCACAAGTGGTGAAAAATAATCACACAACTCTGGGTGCAAGTGCTCATAAAAATGGTACACCCCTGGCTCAGACAAATGATACAGTCCTCTAGAAAACTTCAAGGACTTGTTTCCATTTCAGTGAATGGCAAAACTCAAATAGAGTTCAGTGGGAGGTTGCAATCCACACCATGCATTATGCACAGAAACCAAGTGCAAAGAACACTTACCCTGCCTCACAATTAATATTTTCCACATAAAACACCACTGATGTCTCTCAGGTGAGCCAAAATGGTTAGACCAATTTTTCCATCAGACTTAATAATAACTTTCAACAAATAGCATTGCCGTTCTCCTGTTTTATTTTGCTTATCCCTTCAGTAAACTCTGCCTGCTGATGTTTAAAATCCCCAGTTATTTGCCTGGTTCAGCCATACCTCTGTTATTCCAGTGATATCATACCCCCCATTGCAAACATGCAAATCCAGAGCAGCCATTCGAGGCCCAAATGTCCCCTCTACCTCTGGGAGGATCTGTAGGTTTGGGGCTCTAAACTCCTTGTGTTTTCTTTCATGGGGAGGGGCATAAAATGCCATGCTCCCTAAGGATGATCCAGAGGGAACTCCATGGGGGGAAACAGTCGCCTGTACCCTCCAGGAGGTTTTCCCACATGGGGGATAATCTGCATTGTTGTTACTATGCACTATGGGCCTGATCCAAAGTCCACTGATGTCAAGATTCCCATTGACTTCAAAGGGATTTGGATCAGTCCCCATGCTACCAGGGTTGCTAATGGCTAGATCCTCAGCTGATGCAAATTGACACAGCTCATTTGAAGTCAATGGAACAGCTCTGATTTACACCAACTGAGGTGTAAAGCAGCCGAGAATCAGGCCCTCCATTCTGAGCTTGTTAGTTTTGCTGTTCCAATTTTAGCTATCCAGTTAGCTGCATTTCACTGTCTTCTTATCCTTCCTCTTTGCTTTCTATATTGTCTTTTCTTCAGCTCTTTTCTCTCTTCATTTCATTCTCCTTTTAAATCTGAAACTACTTTTCTCCTATTTTTATGCTTTTTCTACTGTATATACATAGCTCCATTACTCTGCCTTCATTTATCCACCTGTCTCACTTAGATGGCTCTATAGCAGTGAATCTCAAACTTTTCCATGCTAGGAAACACAACCCAGTGGGATTCATCTCCCACCCAGACAGGATTGCGCCATGATCGCTCTCTTCTTTAGTAATCTAAAAAGGACAAGTTCGTAACAACCCCCAAGCAGACACCCCTGCTCCATAGCACCCATCACAGTATTACTGAAACCAGAGCATTCACCCCTAAGTATCTGATCATGTTTTCCTTTCACCTTTATGCTCTTTCCTTCTTCTTTAGGGTCCTGATCCAGCACCCATGATTTCAGTGGAGGTCTGATTACATGGAGTAAAGTGCAAGATTGAAGGTTATGTGGGAGCGATGAGACCTGGTTGACCGCCTGAAGATCTGATGCCAGAGAGTCTCCTTTTTTTCTTTTTTGCAGTGCTCAATCTGATCCAGTTCAATGAAAATTTAACAACTACGTATTGGTCTGAAAACATCCCTCTGCTCTTTTGGCGACATGTTTATCCTGGAGAAAGTTGACTCGCTTTCCATTTAATTGTTTTAAAACCACAATTCCAATCATTGAAAACAGGGCTTAATTGAAGATTCAGCTCATAAAACGTAGTGCAGTGTTAAAGCTTCATTTTTACAAGCTATAACTTAGAGTACATTCTACATTGGCCAGGTTTAGGAGGACAAATGAGGCTTATCCTTGGTGCAATCTTTAATCCATCCAGCATTTCTCAGGTCTTTGCTCACATCCTACAGTCACTTTACCACGTTGTCTGTAAATGTAGTTGAATTAAGTATCATCATGTTAGTAGATGGCTTGAAGGATTTGTGATAGCATACAGAGCCTTTCGCCTGTAGATTGCCCTTTCAAATCCCACCCACGATAGTAGGGACCAAGAGTTATTAATGTTTCATCACCTGTACATAGTAGGTTGAGAGGTCTTGAATCATTTCTCAATTGGCAGGTATCCATAACACAATGTGCACCCCCGATGGTGTCACATGGTGGTAGAGGCCTATCCTGGAGATCTAGGGTTCAGTGGCACAAGATGAGGGTTGGTACAATGGCCATCCCAGCAGACAGGACAAGGATGGAATGAACCATCCTGCTTTATCCCCCCTCTTTGTCTCTTTTCTGTGAAAGCTCTATGACTGAGGGGTGAGAAATACAATCCTTTTCTTCTCACTACAGAAGGACCCCCCGACTTTCCCTTTTTCTATGCCTGTCCCTTTGATCCCTCCTTTGTCTGGTAGTAGGTTCCAGCCAGTCCTGACATCATGCCATGTACTCCTGCAGAGAGTACCAAGATGAACTGTGTGTATCTTAGATACCATTTCATTTAGCAGATACTTAAGCAAATCTTCATCTGTCTGACACTATGCTGTACAATTCAACATGGACCCAATCCCAACAGATTCTGAGCCCCTTTGAAGGTGCTGAGTGCCCACAAGTCCCGTTAACTTCAGGATGATGGAAATACAATCCTTTTGCCCTTTGACTTTTCACTTAATGTGTTAAGACTGCCCTTAGGGGATTGGGGATAACCTGGTATCAGGCTCACAAAGAGCAGCTTTTTCTGCATGGTATCCATAAACCGGTATTTAATTTAGGTTTAATAGAAAAGTTATTGTATGTTAAATAAATACTAATTGATTATTTCAAATATATGTGTTGAGGGTTAACAGCTATGTAATGAGCTCCTCTCCATTAGCACAGCTGTTAAACATCAATTAATATGGGTTTTATAATCAATTGATATTTAACATGACTAAAGTTTCCTAGTGAGATTTAATGGGTCAGCATTTGTATAGTAGCCAATACCATTTTTATTTTAAAGGAAAAAATATTTGTTGAAGGATTTACAAGTAGGTGAAAAGTTATGAATCTGTTAAACCTCAGCAAATCGGCTTCACATAATTAGCTGGTATTTAACAGACATAGAGGGGCTATCTTCTCAGATATGAAGAGTGGCATTCTGTCTGATGGTCACACTCATATGCATGCCAGGAAGCCACCAGACTGAAAAGGGGATGTAGTTCAGATTCCCTGCTAAACCCATGGAGGAACCATACACAGACGCCCATGTAAACAGAGTCCTAGGGAAGGACGCAGCAGACAGATAGTATCGTCCATTGTTTCAGTGAATGCTCTCAAACAGCAATGGGTCCCTAATCCTTCCACACTCTGCAGATTGCCTCTATTTTGGGAATGGTTTTGCACTGTGGCAGAATTTGGCCTTTCAATTAGGCCTTGATCCAGCTCCTACTGATCTGAATTCTTCCCACTGAGTCCAATGGAAACCAGGCCCCTTAAAGCACGATTCTGCTCTCCCTTACACTGGTGTGAATCAGGAATAACTTCATTAAAGTCAATGGGGCCTGGTTTCTCACTGTCCTGTACCTTGTGTAGGCATTTACACCTGTGCAAAGAGAGCACAAGGTATGTGTAACAAGTGGCTAAAGCAGAACACTAACATTTTGCATCCATTTTGCACAGGTGTGAATGATTATATATGGTAGAGAGCATGGAGAACTAGCCCCAGTGGAGGTCACCAGTGTAAAACTGTTGTGAGTAACATCAGAAACAGGCCCTAAACAAGAGAGAACTGCATTTCCACCAATCTTTCATAAATGCAAGACACAACTTTGAAATTCTGCACTGTCCTACAGATAGCACTTTACTGAAGGAGCTCCCCTTAGTCAGAACATTAAGCAATATACAGACTCGAGCCATTTCTGGATCGTCATGTGATCCTCTACTAACTGTGTTTATTATTCCAGCCGCACTCAGACCCTGTCTACACTGGTGTTGGTGTGTAGGCTACAGGTGGCTACACGCCACTGTGAAAGCCAGACTGCGTCCACACTGTGGTGTGTAGCTAGTGAAAGCTAGTGAAAGCCCCACGGGGAGGGGGCCGTGGGGAAAGGTTCCAACAGTGAGGAGCTTCTGGAGCCTTCCCCCACTGCCTCTCCCGGCCCTCATCCCTGCCAGAGCCTTTCACTGAAGCAGGGAGACTCCAGCAACTGGACTCTACACTGCTTGGGTGTGTAGAGAGCCATGTAGGGCACATCAGAGCTGGCACTAGGCATAAGCAATTGACTAGGGCTTGGAGCAGCTCAAGGGAGTCCCCTTTTAATTATCAGCATGTGTTGTAAATATTCCTGCTTAGGGCAGCCAATGAGCTAGCACTGGTCTGGTACACATACCCACTGGGTTCAGACGTGTAGGGCGCTCTGCTCACTTAAACTGTGCTTCCACATGCCTGTGCTAGCTGGGTGGGCAGTGACTTGCTCTCTACGCACCAAAATAAGTGTCGACCTACCCTCAGATACATGCTGTGGTGCCCAGAGAGGAGATAAGCAACAAGGGAGCCACTTGTAAACGACGACAAGAGAAGTTCTAGAGTCAAGATTTTCAAAGCTGACCAGGGGCTTTAGGCACACAACTCTCATTAATTTTAATAGATATGGTGTGCCTAAATCCCCTCCTTGGCAATGAAATCACTAAGACTTTAATCCCTCTGACAATCTCCCCCACCACTATACGCACACACAAATGAATCATGTGCAATCCGTTTAGTGTACACAGGGAGAGCACAAGGAATTTTTTAATGAAAGGAACACAAATCATAACTCATTTACCACCATTCTCTAGCAGCATTTCTTCTATAATTCCTTATTGGCAACTTTCAGACAGTTTTCATGCTATGAGAGAGTTTTGTACAGTTTGCCATAAATTCATGCCAGGGGGCATGTAAATGAGCCTAAAAGTATCCTTTCCTCTTTGAGGATGTACTGTTCTATTCCTTCCGTACCCAGCTACAGTCACTTTCTCATCCCCACAATCAGATAGGCCCCTCCAAGATTTAAACAATCGTACTA